TCTCTCTGTCTCTGTCTCTCTCTGTCTCTCTGTCTCTGTCTCTGTCTCTGTCTCTGTCTCTGTCTCTGTCTCTCTCTCTGTCTCTCTCTCTCTGTCTCTGTCTCTCTGTCTCTCTTTCTTTCTCTCTCTTTCTCTCTCTTTCTCTTTCTTTCTCTCTCTGTCTCTCTGTCTCTCTGTCTCTCTCTCTCTCTCTCACACACACACACACCAAAGTCCATGCTGGAAGCCAAGCCACCTTCTCATGATCTGGGAAGGGAACTTCAGAGATGGAGACCCAGAAGTACAGGTTAGGCTAAGCCAGCTGTGTGGCCTAGTGGTGGGATCCCGTTTCTCCTTCGCCTAACAAAATCCCAAATTCTGCTCCTTGAAATGAATCCCAGTCTTAGCCAAAGGGAGACCCGGCACGTTCTCAGACGTTGGTCTTTAACAAAACCTTGCATTTCTGGTGCATACGCATCACAATTGTTAAAGATGTCAGAGGCCAAGCATCCACATTTCAGGGCTCCTTGGCCCCCAAGAGAGCCTATTATTTTTTCAAGGTCACCCCAAAGGGTTCCTGGTTGCCCCATTCTCTGCAATTTAGGATGTTCTGTTCTGATTTGTGAGGCACATGCCTTTGCACGAGGGGCCTTGGATCTATATTTTGCAAAAGGATATTTGTCGCCTGACAGCTTCCTTTGTGTCAGGTGTGCCATCACACCACCGTCAACAATCCTGGGCACCTTTTTTTTTTTCCAACGTCACACATACCAGAACCAAGTTATTAAAATATTTTTTAAGCACTATCACCCCCCCAATTTAATATCTGGGCTTTTTCCCCCCCTTTCTCTGATTTTCTCATCCACACCCACACCCAAAGCAAGGCCAACTCACTCTCTCTCTCTCTGTCTTTCCTTGTGCGGCCAACCTTTTGACAAATATTTTGCACTCAAGATCATTTCGCAAGACCTCATTTTACGATGTTTTTTTGTCTTCCCAAACACACAATTGAAGAGGTGTGTGTGTGGGGGGGGGGGAAATATCCTTCCCAGGGCTGGGCTCCATATTTCAAATGCACAGCCTTGGGATTTTGGGGGGAGGGCAGGGGGGGAGAGAGGAGAGAGACAGAAGCGATGGAGGGAAGGGCAGGATCCTTCCATATATTCTCCACTTTTCTTAAGGCAGAATCCAGGGAGGTGACCGACGCAGCCAGCCCTAGGGGTGAGTGGGGTGATTAAGGTAGCAATGCAATAAAAGGCACCTCTCCCCGCCCCCCCACCCTCCAGTTATGGGGTGGGTTCTTCTCAGGCTCTTACCAGTTGCTGGAAAGCAGGTTGATCCAAGTCACTCTGCAGAGCAAAATTGCTGAGAGCTTTCCAAGGCGGCTGGTACGTTTGCACTTCTACCGCGCTGCCTTGCATGGCGCTGTCGTGGCGAATGGGGCTGCCAGCAACCAAGGGGGTGCCAGTTAAACCCTGCAGGCTCTTGGGGGGAGACCGGAGGAGAGAAAAGTTGGAGAAGAAAAGGTCAGCCAGAATGCAGCCGAATCTGCCCAGGTCAACAATGATCCCACATTCTCTGCAATTTGTTTTCAGGTTTCCTTGGACCTGGATGGCCTATCAGGGAGAGCAATGTGGGTGGGGGGGCATGGAGGATGCCATTTGGGGGCTCTCGCCCCAAATCAGAAATTAAACCAGCTTTCTCCTCACTATCACCTAAACTCAACAGCTCGGCTGTGGAATTAACGATGAATGTCCCACCGTAGCTGCAGAGAATGGGGACATGTCCTGCCAGATGTTTAAAAATCACCCTTGGCCACATATTGCAATCCACATCTGTATGGGGGGAGGGGCAGGGATAACTGGCGACTTGATGATGCTGAGAACTCTTGACATGATAGCCCTAAGGATCTAGAAGCGATTGGCCAATGAGGGAGGTTGATTAAGAAAGCGAAGAGAGAGCTTTTTTTTCTTCTACGGAACTCTCCAGTTCTTTAAGTATGCAAAAATACATAAAAGTGGTGAACAGCATCCCTATGGAGAAAAAATCATCTCTTATTTTTAATAATCAGGTAGTTTGGGGATCAGGAAAATTGTTTGAGGGGTGGAATTAAAAAAAAAAACCCTCACATACTGAATAAGCTAAATACCAATGTCTGTCTGTCTGTCTGTCTATCCATCTATCCATCCCTATCTACCTACCTACCTACCTATCCATCCATCCATCATCTATCTATCTATCTCCATCCATCCATCCATATTTATCTACCTACTCTGTCTGTCTGTCTGTCTGTCTGTCTATCTATCTATCTATCTATCTATCTATCTATCTATCTATCTACCTACCTATCTCTATCTATAATATCTCTCTCTCTCTATCATCTATCTATAATCTATCTCTATCTATCTATCTGTCTGTCTATCTATCTATCTATCTATCTCCATCCATATCTATCTACCTACTCTGTCTGTCTGTCTATCTGTCTGTCTGTCTATCTATCTATCTATCTATCTATCTATCTATCTATCTATCTATCTATCTATCTATCTATATCTATATCTATATCTATCTACCTATTTATTTATCTATCTATATCCATCCTTATCTATCTATCTATCTATCTATCTATCTATCTATCTATCTATCTATCTATCATCCATCTTTCCTTCCTCACAAAACTGGAGCCCCTCTCGATATCATTTCCAAACAGGAAGAAGTAAAAAACCCAAATACGCCAAAACTAAAAGCCAGACACCCCTTTCTCTCCCCGCCCCCCGCAAAAAAAGGGGTCAGAGGTCTGACTATGCAAGTCGCCATCTTGCCTTTTCTGACTCCTTCTGGGAAGGGTTGGAATTCATTTTTAAGATGCCGGAAGACGTTTTCCCCACCCCCCCCAGCTACCAGCCAGCTGCTCCATCAGCCCTCGACGCGAGAGGGAGTCCATCCAATCCTTTGATTTACGGAATCAATCCAAGTAATTTGATTCTGATAAATGAGGAAGACTAGACCCCCCCCCACTTCATCCCGCCATGAGCCAGTCTCACCTTCTGCTTTCTCCTCCCCCAAACCCTTTCCCCCCCCTCCCCATCTGGCCCAGGCGTGACGGTTTTCAGCAAAGCAGTTCAGAACATCTGGAAGGCAGCCTGAGACCGTCTTCTGCAGAATTTACAGCAGAGATCAAATAACTTTTAGCAGAAGGGAACACTATGGAAAAGCAGCAAACAAAACCACAGCTAAACTATCCATGTTTTTTTGGGACGGTGGGGTAGAAGTCCTTTTTTTAAAAAAATAAAATAAAATAACCAAACATTAAAGTTTGGCTCACTTCAAAAACAGCCCCCCCCCAAAATCAGGCTTATTTGAATCAATCCCTCTGCTTTTCTGTAGATGAGATAACTATAAAGAAGACATCGCAGCTGCTTCGGGGCGGATGTTTTTAGAAATAAGTTCGATAAATCATTACAACCGTTATGGTTATTATAATTATTATGGCCATCCTGATCTTCCTGCAGACATATTGACTCACGCAAGGATCCTCTACATGAGACAGTATCGATCCTGAGCCCAGGAGGGAAAGGAATCAATATTGCTTAAATATCACCTGGCGGATGGGCCGAATAAAAATAGATATTGTTGCTGTGCTGAAGAACCTAATGGCGGAGAACTCTTTGCGGTTCAATGCTAGGTACATGCAACTAGGCCAAAGAGGAGCTGCGTCGACTTTAGGCCCCTGGGAGATGGGGACCCTTCAGCTTTATGGGAATTGTAGTGCTCAGAGTCTGGGAGGGGGGAAATCCTCCTGCATTATGGGGATTGTAGTTCTGAGAGCCCCTGGGAGATGGGGACCCTTCAGCTTTATGGGAATTGTAGTGCTAAGAGTCTGGGAGGGGGGAAATCCTCCTGCATTATGGGGATTGTAGTTCTCAGAGCCCCTGGGAGATGGGGACCCTTCAGCATTATGGGAATTGTAGTGCTAAGAGTCTGGGAGGGGGGAAATCCTCCTGCATTGTGGGAATTGTAGTTCTGAGAGCCCCTGGGAGATGGGGACCCTTCAGCATTATGGGAATTGTAGTGCTAAGAGTCTGGGAGGGGGAAAATCCTCCTGCATTGTGGGAATTGTAGTTCTGAGAGCCCCTGGGAGATGGGGACCCTTCAGCATTATGGGAATTGTAGTGCTAAGAGTCTGGGAGGGGGGAAATCCTCCTGCATTATGGGGATTGTAGTTCTCAGAGCCCCTGGGAGATGGGGACCCTTCAGCATTATGGGAATTGTAGTGCTAAGAGTCTGGGAGGGGGGAAATCCTCCTGCATTATGGGGATTGTAGTTCTGAGAGCCCCTGGGAGATGGGAACCCTTCAGCATTATGGGAATTGTAGTGCTAAGAGTCTGGGAGGGGGAAATCCTCCTGCATTATGGGAATTGTAGTTCTGAGAGCTTGGAAGGGGGAATCCTCCAGCATGATGGGGATTGTAGTTCTGAGAGTCCCTGGGAGATGGGAACCCTTCAGCATTATGGGAATTGTAGTCCCAAGAGTCTGGGAGGGAGGAACCCACCGGATTCAGGGGGGGCTGACTCGCTTCTGGGCTGGGGCACTTTCACCCCCACCAATGCAAGCTGGGAGACCGGCGAGCAGGAGAGGCGCTTTGGCCCGGCCCGGCTCGGCTCGGCTCGGCTTGGCCCGGTCCGGCCCGGCTGACCCACTTACTGCCTTGTCGCTGTGCTGCTGCTGCTGCTGCTGCAGCTGTTTCATGAGGATGGACTTCTTCTTGTCTTTGCAGCGCTTGTTCTGGAACCAGACGCGGATGACACGCGGGCTCAGCCCGGTCATCTCCACCAGCTGCTCCTTCATCAGCGCGTCCGGCCGCGGGTTGGCGGCGTAGCAGGTGCGCAGCGTGTGAAGCTGCTTCTCGTTCAGCACCGTCCGCACCCGTGTCGTTTTCTCCGCCTGCTTGTGCACGTGAGAACGCAGGGAAGGCTGCCGGCCGGGCACCGCGTCTGCGGAGAGAAGGAGGGGGCCGGGGAGGGGGAGAGGTCCAGGCCGGCGTGAAAAAGGAGGGAGGGCGAGGCGGAGCCTTAGAAAGAGGGGCGCAGAAACCCCCCCCCACAGATGGGAGCCCCTCCCACCACAGATTTTTCTTTCTTTTTTTTGGGCGGGGGGAGAATATTTTCTATCCCCGTATCAATCTGCTAGGATAGTAACCCCCTTTTTTTCTCTGGAGGCCAAGGCGGCGGGAGGACCCCTCCCCTTCCTTCCCCGACGACAACCCTGCGAGGTAGGCCACCAGGTCCCAAAGCCACTGAAGGCGCCTCTCCTGCTGAAGATGGTTTGCAGGGTGGCCTCTCGGCCTTTAATCCCCCCCTTGCTTTTGCGCACGTGACCCGGAGCCTAATCATAAATGAAGTGGTCATTAAATGCGCCATAAAATCGCCCGGGGTCGCTTGACAGTGAGATAAAAAGCGGTGTATAAATCAAAACGATAAAACAAAAACCCTTCTTATGTTTGGAAGGGTTTCTCCTTTTTACTGGGCAATGAAACGGACACAGTTTTCCTGTCTCCATGGGGGGGCGGGGGCGGGGGGGGAGCAGCTTGTCCTAAAAAAACGGGGCACGGAAAATAGGGTCCATTTTATTCGAGATACGGAGGAGGGGTGGCTGAGCAGCACAGCTGGGGAAGCCCTCGGAAAGCCTACGATTCGCGCATGAGAATGAGACGGGAGAAACTTTTAAATTGCCTCCAGTTTAATGGCTTCCAAGAAAGAAAGAAAGAAAGAAAGAAAGAAAGAAAGAAAGAAAGAAAGAAAGAAAGAAAGAAAGAAAGAAAGAAAGAAAAAAAGGAAGGAAGGAAGGAAGGAAGGAAGGAAGGAAGGAAGGAAGGAAGGAAAAAGAAAGACAAAAAGACAGAAAGACAGAAAGAAAGAAAAAGAAAGAAAGAGAAAGAAAGAAAGAAAGAAAAAGAAAGAAAGGAAAGGAAGGAAGGAAGAAAAAAGAAAAAGACAGACAGATCAAAAGACAGAAAGACAAAGAAAGAAAGACAGACAGAAAGACAAAGAAAGAAAGAAAGAAAGAAAGAAAGAAAGAAAGAAAGAAAGAAAGAAAGAAAGAAAGAAAGAAAGAAAGCTGAAGCTCAGAGAGAGGAGTCCGAAAAAGTGAATTCGAGGAACCTTGATTGTTTTCCCAGCGCAATAAAAACGCACCTACAGTAAAAGTGAAAATAAACTTTCCCTTTTCTCCAAAAGAAAGGAAAAGTTTACTTTTTTCTTTTGGGACCTGCAGAATTGGAAACACCCCCCCCAATTCTAAATTCCCTCCCCACCCCAAAAAATAAATCCCCCCCCCCGCAGGAAAACTGACCGGGGCTGTTCAACTTTTGACATGCAAACGGATATGCTGGCATTCCCTGCATAAACCAGAGTCCAAGAAAGGAAGGAAAGGAAGGAAGGAAGAAAAAAGGAACGAAAGAAAGACAGACACAGCGGAAGCCACGGAACTAAGCAGGGATGCTGCCATATTACCGGCCTCGGGATGGTCCCACGGCCCAGGTCAGACCCAAAAAGGCAAGGGGGGAGTGGGTAGGTTGAAAGGCCGTGTGGTTTAAATCCGCACGCAAAGAAATTTCCTTTTCCTTGGGATTAATTAATTCTCCGTCCCTATCTGGAAGAGAGATTTACCGGTGGTTTATGATGATTTATACTTGCTATTATTATTATTATTTGACACAAAAAATGACAGTGTGCACAGCCAACGAGATAATTCTGCTGGGTTTCACAAATCACTAGTTGAATACTTCCCACGTTTATATTATTATTATTATTATTATTATTATTATTATTATTATTATTATTATTATTATTATTATTATTATTACTATTACTATTACTATTACTATTATTACTATTATTACTATTATTACTATTATTACTATTATTATTTTGGTGTTGGTATTATTATTGTTGATATTGGTGTTGTTGTTGTTGTTGTTATTATTATTATCCCATTTCAATCCTTCTGACATTTCCTTTTATGATTTTATTTCATGGCTAACTTCCATACAGTTCCCAACGCCTGGTTTCAAACTCAGGAGCCCCGCAAAAGGCCCTGTGGCGGACGGAATCCAGAACAGCCTCCTCTTCTATTTCGGGTCCGTTTTCAAAGAATAAGCGCCAACTTATTTAAAATGTCCATCAAGGAAGGATCAATAGCGACCGGACTGCGAGGACCGAAGGGGAAAAGAACCCGTTTTTACGCCTGAGCGTTTTTGAAAGAAAACGGGGGCCGGTGGAAGAGATTTCTGCTTAATTTTCTTTTTAAACTACCCGTAAAAAAATCGCCGTAACTTACAATCGTGAGCGCGGGCAGGTGTGTAACTATCACACGCGCGTAGACACGCTTTGTCCACGAGGAAAGTTAGTGTGCGTGATTTTTTTTTTAAAAAATCTCTTTTTCCCCCCTTCCCGAACGAATCCAAAACGGATCCAAAGCCCGCAGAGGGGCTGTCATTAAAAACAAAAGGAGGCCAATTCGAGTTCGCGCAACGCGCCGCGGGAGCGCATCGACCCATTTCGAGACGGAGGAGACCCCGGTTGTTCCCCCCACCCACCCACCCCAATTCCTCCCTTTAAAACCCCACCGGGTTCTTTCCAACGATCGTTTCTCAATTACCCCCTCCCAGGTTTTTGTGGGTTTTTTTTTTTTTTTGTCATAAGGCTCCAATCGCCCCTCGATCCGTCTCGAGGCCGAATTAAGGCCGCCCGCGTTTAACACGGATTTGCCAAGGTGGCACGCACTCTGCTCTGCATTCTGCAAACACGCATAATAATAATAACAATAATAATAATAATAATAATAATATATATATATATATATATATATATATATATATTATTGTTAATAATATAATATACAATAATAACATCATCATCAACAACAACAATAATAATAATATACAACAATAATATATATTATTGTTAATATAATATACAACAATAATAATAACAACATCAACAATAATAATAATATACAACAATAATATATATTATTGTTAATATAATATACAATAATAACAACATCATCAACAACAACAACAATAATAATAATATACAACAATAATATATATTATTATTAATATAATATACAACAATAATAATAACAACATCAACAATAATAATAATATACAACAATAATATATATTATTGTTAATATAATATACAATAATAACAACATCATCAACAACAACAACAACAATAATAATAATAATAATAATAATAATAATAATAATAATAATAATAATAATCCTCAACAACGGCTTCGTGGCCCACCCAAATTTCGATTCGGAAAAGAAGCGGGTTGGATCCGGTTTCAGCCAGGTTTACCTGGTGGGAAGCTGCTTTAAATTGGGTGGGCTTCGTTGTGGGGGAAGGGGCGGAGGGCTGCAGCCTGCAGGGGCCGAGGGGCACCCCGGCTGCCAACGCTGGGAAAGCGGGGAGCTTCCTTCCGAGGAGACCCTACGGGGGGTTTAGGCCTGGGGGGGGCGGGGGGGGGGGGGTGCTAATTTCTCCAGGGAAGGAAAAGAGGCCCTTAGAAGGAGGCAGAATCTATCCCCGGGAAACGGATCTTTTGAGGTTAGGAGAAACAGGAAAGATGGAATTTCCTTTGGTATTTTTCCCCCTTCCCTTCTTTTTCCTTTCCTTTTCTTCCTTTCCCTTTTTTCCCTTTCCTTCCCTTCTTTTTCCTTCTCCTTTCTTCCCTTCCCTGGCTTTGCGTCCCTTCTTTTTCCTTTCTCCTCTTTCCACGTCTTTCCTTTTTCCCCCTTTCCCTCCCTTTTCCCTTCCTTCTCTCTTTTAATTTTTTCTCTTTCTCTCCCATTCTTTTTTTTCCCCCCTCTTTTTATTTTCTCCTTTCCTTCTTTGCCTCATCACTTCCCAAGATTCCCCCTCTCCCCCCCCCCCCCCGTTTTGGCCATCCTGGCTTTCCAACATCACAAATGTACATGCGGGGGCTCAGAAGCAACAAGGAAGCCGCTGAATGCAAAACAGGTACAAGGTGTGTGCAGGTGAGAGGCAGCAATTGGACTGCGCCAGAGTGGTATTTGGGCTGGTTTGGCCCAGGCAGATTTGGGCTTGGGGAAAAGACAAAACGTGCCAGAGCAGATCGAAGGAGGATCCACACTAGTTTTATTTAGGATCGCCTTCTTAGTGACTGGAGAAACCCCGGAAGTTTCCAGAATTCTTTTGTTTGGAGGCAATTGGGAGATTTCGGTCCCAAAAACCGACATTTGAGGCTAAGCCGGGGATCTACCAAACACCCCCTGCCTGCCCCACAGTTATTTTTGACATGGGGAGGATCTATTTTCTATTCACTCCCTAAGGGAAGTAATTGGAGTTCATTTCTGCACCTCTTTGTGAGTCTTATATGTTTTACAAAAAAACCCTTTTACATTTTAGAAAAGGAGGGGGGGAGAATCAGATTTTGGGGAAAGGGAGAGGGGGGGTCTCTAGGGGATTTCCCTGGGGTCTGAGTTTCAAAAATCAGGACTTTCTGACTAGCCACGAACAGGCAAAGGGGGTTAGCCAGGCCTTCTGTTCTCTTCTGCCAATCTTCCCCCCCTTTCCTTGAACCCAGGGCCAGCATCTGGGTTAGGAATGGTGGAAGCTAGTTATGCAGCACAGCTGGAAGGTGCTCATTGGAAAGGCTGCCCCTAACATGAGCTTAAAATTTAAAAAAAAAAAAACCCTGGTGATTACCTCTCTTCCTGCTAAACTTTGAAATAGTTTTATTTTCCAACTCTGGAGCGCCTTGAAACTGCCCTAACCAGTGAGAGAAGCCAAACTATGATTGATCCCCCAGAAACGGTGAAAAACACCTCAACAGAATGAGGGTGGGGGGGGAGAGAGAGAAACAAACCCAAGTCCCTGGAAGAGATGTGGAGTTGTGGATGCAGACAGGGCTGGAGGGAGGATGAAGCAAGGAAACAAAGCGGGATTTGGGAAGGGAGAAGAATAAAGCTGTGGGTGTCAGAGAGAGAGAGAAAGAGGAGGAAGGGAGGGAGGGAGGAAAAAGGGGAGAGAAGGGGGAGGGAGGGGGGGAGGGAGGGAGGGAGGGAAGGAAGGAAGGAAGGAAGGAAGGAAGGAAGGAAGGAAGGAAGGAAGGAAGGAAGGAAAAAGGGGAGAGAAGAGGGAGGGAAGGAAGGCAGGAAGGAGAAAGGGAGGAAAAAGAGGAGAGAAGAGGGAAGGAAGGAAGGAAGGAGGGAGGGAGGGAGGGAAAAGGGGAGAGAAGAGGGAAGAAAGGAAGGAAGGAAGGAAGGAAGGAAGGAAGGAAGGAAGGAAGGAAGGAAGGAAGGAAGGAGGAAAAAGGGGAGGGAAGAGGGAGGGAAGGAAGGAAGGAAGAAAGGAAGGAAGGAAGGAAGGAAGGAAGGAAGGAAGGAGGAAAAGGGGAGAGAAGAGGGAGGGAAGGAAGGAAGGAAGGAGAAAGGGAGGAAAAGGAGGAGAGAAGAGGGAAGGAAGGAAGGAAGGAAGGAAGGAAGGAAGGAAGGAAGGAAGGAAGGAAGGAAGGAAGGAAAAACTGCTGCGAACTGAATGAGATTTGGGGAAGGGGCTGCCTTTGGAAGGGCGGCCGGGCTGGAGCCTTACCTGGGAGCTGCTGGAGGTGTCCCGGCCTGGAGCCCTGCAGGTGTCCGGGGCTGCGCGGGGGGCTCTCGGCCGAGCCGGTGCCGTCGAGCAGGAGGCTGTGGTCGGCGCGGCAGAGCAGCTCGTGGTCGCGCAGCGAGAACTCGTCCCCGGGCAGGAGCTGCCGGCTGCAGACGGAGCATCGGAAGCACTCCAGGTGGTAGACGTGGTCGCGGGCGCGCATGACCAGGTCGCTGCTGCTGAAGCCGCCCGCGCACTTGGCGCACTTGATGCCGAAGAGCCTGCGGACCCAGCGGCGGGAGGGAGGGGGGCGAAGGAGGGGAGGGAGGGCGGCGGTCAAGCGCTGCCGGGCCCGGCCCGTCCGAGGCGCAGCGGCTCCTGGAAGCTCCTCGCGGGCCGAGAGCGAAGCCCCCACGAACCCCTAAGGGACGAATGTTTCGCTTGGGCAGGGGAGGGGTTGGACTAGATGGCCTACAAGGTCCCTTCCAACTCCTTCCAATTAGCTGTTATCTGCTAATAACAGCTCAACAAACGAGGGAATCAAGAACCCGCTCCCTAGCGCTTACAGACAATTATTATTATTAATTATTTATTAGGAAGGAAGGAATTAATAATAATATGTATTATTATTAATATTATTAATATTATTATTAATGATAATAACAATAATAACAATAACAGCAATAATAATAATAATAATAATAATAGTAGTAGTAGTAGTAGTAGTAATAGTAATAGTAATAATAGTAATAATATGAATATTATTCCCACCCAGGCCCTCCTGGTTTACTTTTCATCCACGCAAGAATTGGAGCTGCTGCTGCTGCCGGCGGGATTTGGAGGCGAAACTGGGGCGGGAGCGAAACGGGGAGGACAAACCCGACTTTTGGCCAGGGGTGAAAGAAGAAGCCAAGGCCGGACTCCTTCCCTTTCGAACCCAACTCCCTGGAAAGAATGAATCCCTCGGGATTAATGTCCGAATAAAATACACGCCTCCCCTCCTCCGCCTCAGGATTCGTGCACAGGTGTGCAAGGAGTCCCCGCTGAAACGGGTGTGCAGGAAGCGTGTGCAAGGATTTCCCCGACAGGCCTGCGGGGGGTGGGGGGGGAGTGGGTGTGCCAGGACGTGTGTGGGCCCCCCCTTCCCTCCCCCCTTGTATGTAGAAGGCAAGTTGGTATTTATGTGCGTGTGTTTATGCAAAAGGGTGCCCCGACTATGGTACAGAGAGGCGCCTCGTGGCGTGGGGCGTGCAAAAGTG